TTTTTTTTTTTTTTTTTTTTTTGCGGTATGCGGGCCTCTCACTGCTGTGGCCCCTCCCGTTGCAGAGCACAGGCTCTGGACGCACAAGTTCAGCGGCCATGGCTCACGGGCCCAGCCGCTCCGTGGCATGTGGGATCTTCCCGGACCGGGGCACGAACCCGTGTCCCCTGCATCGGCAGGCGGACTCTCAACCACTGCGCCACCAGGGAAGGCCCGGCTTGCCTTTTTTTAAAATTGATTTATAGGATTAATAATCTTTGGGAGTACATTTTAAGTTGTAATGATAAATGTATTGATTTTTTCCCTCATGGTTTGTGGATTTTTGTTTTTTTTAAATATCTTTAAGAAATTCTTCCTTTCCTTGAGGTAATAAAGACATTTAAAAAGTTTTAAAGTTTTTGTTTTCAGTTTAGTAGATAATGAAACTGAGATTGTGGTGTTGATCTCGTGTGTGTGTGTGTGTGTGTGTGTGTGTGTGTGTGTGTGTGTGTGTGTGTGTGTGTGTGTGTGTGTGTGTGTGTGTGTGTGTGTGTTATTTTAACCTCCCCCCACCCAATGGCAATAGCAAGCTGTCCCAGCACCATTCACCCTTTGCTGGGGTGCCACAGTCAGGCCACACATCTCCACATGGACTCAGTGGGTTCTGGTTCCCCTGTTTTAATTGCAGCAGCTTTATAATCAGTCTTATGATAGGACAGGCACCCTTCTATACTTACAGGTATTTTGTCTCTTATTCATCCATAACTCTTCCCTAGGAATTTATGATCAGCCCTTGAGGTTCCATGAAAAATCCTATTGAAGTTTCAGTTGGAATTGTGTTAAAATTATGCATGAATTTGTAGGAGAGTTAACATGTCTATGATAGTTTCCTGAACAAGATTGTGCTATATCTCCATCCAGGTCCTCTTTTGTGTCCACTCTTCATGTGATTGATGGTTACTATTTTAGTTTAATAAAAACTTACCTGGAACATTTTTTCAGATTGATGTTTTAAATATGAAGACTGTTGAAATTGCATTGAAAAGGAGAAAAGGGAGAAGTAAGTGTATATATTAAGTAAAATCTTAGTTAACTTTTAATGAAATCTAACTAGCCTTTTAGACTCCTTAATTTGGGGTATTTGCATGCATATTAGATATTCATGTATGGAGTTCTTTTGTTTGTTAAAATGGGGCAGGAGAAGTTAAGTGCTTAAAATAGGGTTAGGGTCTGGGTGGGCCACCTACATGTGACCTTGGCAAGTCCTTGGCTCTTCACCGTGGCTTCTTAAATTCTAAGATTGTTTAGGATTGTGGAAATAGGATTAAATGAGAACATATTGAAAGCATTATGTAGGCTATGCAGATATAAGAAAGATTTATTACTTGTTTTCTTCACTTTAGGAAAAAGAAAGATAGAGAAGATAAAGCTTATATCAGGTTTTATTTTAGAAAATGAATAAATTCAGCTCAGTGTCATCTCTGTCTTTTGTGTTTGTTGATAGCAGTTATGATTTTAAGAAATCTAAGGATATGAGCTGGGAAATAGTGAAAGCTAGATTATATATTGTATTTCCTCAGGCAATAAAATGTATCTATGCATTTTAGAATTCTGTGGAGTAAGGATTGAAGTTTAGTCTTTAATGATTTAAAAAACAGTTAATTAGGACAAACATAATCAAATCCTATATTCCCCAAGTGTTAGTGTTAATTGAGGTTATACTCTGTGTACTATATTAATGATTCAAGTTTTAAACAATTTCTGTCTTGACTCACACTAAAATATGGTGGTACTTGCTGGGAACACTACAGTCTAACTGTAACTGTGCTCTTTGTGATTAAGAGTTTAAGAAAACAATAAAAGTCCAATTCTGTACTTTATAGCTTGTCTCAAGTGAGTGCGTGTGTGTGAGTTTGTGAGTGCCTGTTTGCAAGTAAGTGTCAGAATAAAAACTTGGGCTTTCCTGTGGTATGAAAATGGAGAATGTACCATATATCATGTCTAAAGAGCTGGGTTCCTTTCTCCCTTTGCTACTTAAACAGGCTTGATGGTCTTGGGCAGTTTCCTCCATCTCATTGTGCCTTTTCTTAAAACTGTAAATTTGGAAAGTGGAGGATGCTTATTTACCTCACAGAAATGTTGGGAAGCCATTAATGTATTGTGTAGTATTTCGTGTGTACCAAATGTTAGTAGATATGAAGGATTTTGATAGTAAAGTTACATCAAGCTTTTAAAAAATATTTATTTATTTATTTGGTTGTGCCGAGTCTTAGTTGCAACACGTGGGATGTTCAGTTATGGCATGCGGGATCTTTAGTGGTGTCATGCGAACTCTTAGTCGTGGTATGTGGGATCTAGTTCCCTGACCAGGGATTGAACCCAGGCCCCCTGCATTGGGAGCACGGAGTCTTATTCACTGTGCCACCAGGGAAGTCCCCAGACTTTCTATTTGCGGAAGCTAAACCCAGGCCGCATTGGGAGCACGGAGTCTTATTCACTGTGCCACCAGGGAAGTCCCCAGACTTTCTATTTGCGGAAGCTATAGTTGTGTGTCTTCAGTGTTTGGGGGGAGGTATGACAAGTGTTGACTATCAGAATCACATATGGTCCAGTAACCTGCAAAAGAGAAACACAGGCTAACTAACATGATTAGGCTGAGTTATCTTTCTCACTGTATAATTATTATAACACAGGGGGCTGGGTTATAATAGTAATATCATCACATGGGACATGGACGGCTTAATGGGGGTGGTGTGTGGTTGCATCGGTGGGTGAGGAATGGTTATCTCATTCCACTGCATAATCATTTGTTTGACCTTTTATGTCAAAGGTAAAATAATTGCACCTCATACCTCCACAGTTCCTTCCATGTGGCCATGGCATAAATTAGAACCCTGTCATATAGTTTTTTGGGTATTAGGAACTTTAAAGTATTTTTTCTCTGCTTGGGACCAAGGACTGAGAAACCAAATTTGAGAAATACAGGGTGTTAAAATGTAAAAATAGTCTAACTTTCTACAAAAGTATCATACCTCTCAACTGAGAGTTTTGATATCTTTTCTAAAGCTGTCTTCCAGTTGATAAGCCAGGGCAATTTAAAAATGAATTTCTCCAACTGGAAAAAATATGCAGTATACTTACTTAGTATACTTATAAGTATACTTACTTATTTTGAGCTCCAGTCATAATCCTATTATATTGGTGTTCAAAAATAGGGAGAGAATGCTTTGTTCTTGAAACTTTCCAGAAACTCAACTTTGGGCAACTCATACACCTCAACCAGCCGTGGAATAAACAAGCCCAGGATAGCATAGTCCAAGCTGTAGAGGTGTGTGCCTGCATGTGTGGGTGTGTATAGTGATACACAGTTAAGACAGTTATTCTCAGTGGTTTGGTGTCTTGTTGGGATTTCGGAGGGGAGATTCAGGGTTCATGAGGGTCTTTTAGAGAGAGTACAATAAATAGTGGCAGCACCAAAAAGATTTAAAAATATTACCTTCTTATTGAAGGGCCCAAGTATTGACCTCACAGTATGATAGCACTGTTTTCAGACTGAGTCGATTTGATTTTGTATCTAATATAACTAGGTTTCTGTTTTTTACACTGCTCAGTTTGCATTTGTGTGTGAGATTTTATATTTTTGCTGTGCTTTTAAAATTCTCTATTCTTATAAGTAACTATGAGAACTTTGAACACATCTTACACTTTTATTCTGCTGTGTATTTATTATACCCACTTACCACAGACTAAGGGGCATCTTACAAGTGACAGAGGTTCATTGAATTAAAGGCGCCATGTATGAGGCTTTAGAGTAAAAATAAAACACACATTTTTTTTCTGTGCCTGAACTCACTCCAGCATTCAGTAATTCCCACAGTTATGCACTTAGCAGATTAGTAAATCAAAATAAATGTTTTAAATACACTAACAGAAAATGGCGGTATTGCCCTGGAGTGTGCCAGGTGCTCTGTTTTCAGATCCTGCCTCTACCACTGCCTAGATTTTGTGGAAGTGCAGTGTGATTTTAAAAGACAAAGTAAAATACTTTGAGAACCTTACAACTGTGTAATTTTCATCACCAGGGGGCACCCTAGTATCACTGATGGAAGCAAAAAGGCAGTTCTGTGTATGGGCGTTTGCTAAACGTCCTTCGTGACTGCCGAGTGACACCACCCTGATTTGTGGCTTCCCCAGACGCACCTTTCTGCTCCGTGTCCATGCCAGCGGTAAATGCCGGGGCACCGGATGTGAGCGTTTGGATGTTACGTGGAATGGTCTTGCGCTGCAGGTGCCAGGCCAAGTGCAGCCCACCTGGGCTTTGCCGTGATGAATGCTGGGGTGTCCCCGTGTGGTGGAAACTTGTGCTGCTCTCAAGTCCAGAAAGCGGTCAGTTCCTTTCAAATCTGCCTTTGTTTTCTTAGCTTCTTATTTGTCATTAATTCTCTCAGGTGAGAACTTTTATCCTGTGATTGTTGAATTGACTTAGTAAGTTGACTGCAGAAAGCGGCTGAGGACGCCACTTCAGTAGTTCCCAGACAGTCGAGGGCATGAGAATCTCATGGGTGCTCTGAGCATCGCAGACTCCGGCACCCCATCCAGGCACCTGAGGCCATTGTACTGTGTGTGCTGCAGTGTGCAGACTTCGAGAAGTTCTGTGTTAGGATGTATCGATAATTGTTTTGTTCTTTTGTTCTGCTTTCAGGGAGCAATTCTCTGTCCACTTACCTTACCCCTTCCCATCCTAAACTTTCTCATCTCAGACATACCCATTTGAAACATTTCTAACTCCTCTAAGTATTATGGAATAGCTAGGAAGGAAAATTTTGGTATATTTATGATACCTTCCTGCATTTACAAAGAGCTCAGACACCTGCTGTTTTGCTTTCTCTCTTCCAAACAAGGAATGTGATCACTAGCCGTTAATTCAGTTATCTAAGGCCTCCTGTTAAAAAGGGAGCCACGATTCCCAGGCTTTTCCTTCTCAGGGGCTTTGTCCACTCTGTCCCTGGGCCTGGTTCCTGCCTCTGGCTGAGTGGACATGTAGTGATGGTGAACGTCAAGCGCAGATGGTCACGGAAGACTCTTTACTAGTGGATGGAGAAAGACAAGCACTGTTGCATTGGTGTGGGCAGTCTGCAACTCCTGTGAAATGAAGGGTGTGTCATGAGCCTTTTATTGTAGTGGATTGACATGTCCATTGGAGCCCATTTTTATTTTTTGCCTCATTGTTGAATCTGTTTATGAACAATAAATGTTTGAAAGCATTCCAATGGTGTTTTAAAATGAAGGTGTTTAATCTTACTGTCTCTCCGTCTGTGTTATTTTGTTAAAATGTCACGAGAAGTTGCATGGGTAAAGTGTTTTAATGAAGGTTGCTTTAATGAAATAGCATGTTTTGCGTTTTAACAATTTGTTGAATTAAAATTTGTTTTCCGATTCCCTGTGCAGCTTCCTCCGTACGGTGGAGCAGTTCTGTGTGGCGCACAGGCCGCTGGTGAGCTACCCGATGGTAAGCTTGTGCTCTCCTTCATTCCCTGACGTGCGTGCTGGGTGGGCAGCCTCCCTGGAAGTGGTGTTCTGTTGGTCCATACCTTTTGGATAAGCGTTCCCTTATTGCTTGATGTTTTTGCTGTAAGCTATAACAGATTTAATCACCGAACCACTTTGACGAATGAATTAAAGTTTTTTCTGTGCTTCAGAGTGCCAGACGTGCAAAGGTGAGTTAAGGAAATAGTTGCTCATTTCTGTTTTTTCCTAACAGTCCTCAGTGACACAGATGTATATTCCTTCATAGCCAAAGCTCTTTGTAAGGGTTCTGAAGTGAGCTTTCTCTCTGGATGCGCTGGATGCTGGGTCCAGAGCTGGCGATTCTCTGAGCACGTGCTTTCTGCCTGGTTCAGTTGCAGCTCAGGTCTGTTGTCCTGCACTTTGTGTTTATGTCCCCATCTGTCACCAAGGCTCTTGGGCATTCAGGTGAGCTCTTCACCTCTTGGCCTGTTATTATTGATTGATTGATTGCCTCTGTCCCAGACACTGAGCTGATCAGTGGAGATGGCGGTTGTTGAGATGCAACCCTTTCGTATTATTTAAGTGCTCAGTGTTACTAACAGCAGGGGCCTTGCACATGTCAAACCCGTTAGACCATTTTTCAGTTTGCATTGTGTTAAAGGTCCTCGCTGGCCTTGGAGAAGCTAAAAGCCTAACCTTTTCTTTGAGAGCAGGGATTTGGTTCCCTGTTTCTTTAGCCTTGTCTGACCTATGAAAGGGTTTTATTATAGTTTAGATTTAAATATAAACCCTGAAAAGACTATGTAAACTTTCTGTCTATAGTAAAATGAGAAAGTGATTATATCTAAAATTATTAGCAACTTTGTAAGGAATGTAAGGGAGAGAACAGTTCCAGTGACTGCTTAGGATGACAGTAAACTAAGCGATGCTACAGGGACCCACATGCCCTTGGCAGGGCCGCCCAGCCTCCAGACTGGCTTTGTTACCTGTGGGTTGAGGTTCTCCCTATCTTCGTGTACTTGGTGCATAGGAGGTGTGCCACAGGTGTTTATTCAGTGCTTAACAGATGTCTCATTATTTTTGCTGTCATAATAGTCCTTCCGTCCTGGTCCAGGTAGTGGCCTCACCATCCTCCCAGTTGCTTAGGCTGGAGATGGAGGCTGCACCTCCCCCTCCTCCCCTCGTCCGACCCCCCAGTGTTCCATTGTCATTCGCCTCTAATCCATTTCCTCCTTCTCTCTCTCTCGCCACATCCCTCCTTCTAGGCTGGCATCCTTGCTCAGTTACGCTTCTTGGCTCTTTTTTTTTTTTTTTTTTAATTATTTTTGGCTGCATTGGGTCTTTGTTGCTGTGCGTGGGCTTTCTCTAGTTGCAGCGAGCGGGGCTACTCTTCATTGCCGTGGGCGGGCTTCTCGTTACGGTGGCTTCTCTTGTTGTGGGGCATAGGCTCCAGTAGTTGTGGCACATGGGCTTAGTTGCTCCATGGCATGTAGGATCTTCCCGGACCAGGGCTCGAACCCGTGTCCCCTGCATTGGCAGGCGGATTCTTAACCACTGCGCCACCAGGGAATCCCCTTCTTGGATCTTTTTCTCCATTCTCTCCTCTCTCTTCTCAAGTCCATCTTTTAATCCTCCAAAACCACGGCTGCTCACACTGTTAGTGACAGGCCAGCTTAAAAGCCCCTTTTCTCCAAGGCCTTTTCTGCTCTTTTTCCGTTACTTCTCTTTCTCCTGCAGTGCTAGCTCACTCTGCCTCCCTCTTTAGGCTGAGTTCAGCTGTGGGTGGCAGAGACCACAGTTCATCCGTTTCTGCGTTTAGCAGCTGCACAGTATAGTATTTGCCGTGCTGTAGACTCTCAGGATGTTTTGTTTGTTTGTTTGTTTGTTTTGCGGTACGTGGGCCTCTCACTGTTGTGGCCTCTCCCTTTGCGGAGCGCAGGCTCAGCGGCCATGGTTCACGGGCCCAGCTGCTCCGCGGCACGCGGGATCTTCCCAGACCGGGGCACGAACCCGTGTCCCGTACATCGGCAGGCGGACTCTCAACCACTGCGCCACCAGGGAAGCCCTCAGGATGGTTTTGGATGATCACTTTAGAGGGATTTGCTCTATTGCCCACCATAGCCAGCGACTCATGCTCTTGGCGGGGGCTCCTGCACAGCGTGCCTCTTATACTGCTGCCTTTTTAAGTCAGTTCTCACCACCCACCCCATCCACTTATCCTGTCGATTCCACTGACCTCTGTCTAGCTCCTGATCGAAGTAGATCTCTTTTCCCTGTGTCAGGAAGCATTCTTTTTGTAAAGCTGTTGAGGCCTCGTCTTACCCACCCTCTGCATTGTCATCTCCCGTCTTAAATGTTTGTCTCCCTAGTAGATGTAACTCCTTGAGGCAGAGACCTTGCCTTACCTCTGTACCCCACCCCCCTGGATAATAAACACTTTGCACATAGCTAGGTGCTCCGTGATTGCTGAATTGACTCAGTGAGAGTTGATGGAGAAATCAGCCGAGGAAGCCACTTAAGCAGTAGCTCTCAGACAGTCCTGGGCATGAGAATCTCCTGGGGGCCTCTGAACATCGCAGACTCCAGGACCCCATCCGGGCACCCCAGGCCACTGTACCGTGTGTGCTAAAGTGCGCAGACTTTGAGAAGTGATGTGTTAGGATGTAATTGTTTTATTTGAGCTGGTTTTCCTTCCCTCAACAAATCCACTGCCTGCGTGACCCGAGTGCTCAGGAGCTTCCAGACCTTCCACCACTCTTCTGGCCTGACAGGTTGGGCCTTGTCCTGACTTCTCTGCCCTGGAGGGCAGTGCACGTGTGTGTCCACGACCAGTGTTCCTGAATAAGAAAAGGAACTGTTCTGGGTGGGAATTGGACTTCCAGGGATGTGATCAGATACTTTGTTGGGTAAATGTTTTGATGACAACTGTAGCATATTGAAATGGTTCCGTTAATGTCACGTCACATTCTAGAATGTTGTATGAGACGATAAGATTAAGAATTGAGATGCGGAAGGCACTGTGTCTATCGGAAATAATCAAAATCTGGCACGCACTGCATGATACAGCACGTACTAATTTTAAGTGTGATTCGCAAGGTACATCACAGTCTCCAAAGGGCAGCCTCCTCATGCCGAGTGTCCTTCACTTCGTCAGGTACACCCATTTTAGTCCACTTAGCAGCATTGTACCCTTGAAACCTCACAGGATAGGGGATACCTGGAAGCAGACTGGACAGTTCACTTTTAGGTATAGTAATAGAGAAATGAATTTCTCTGTGGTGATTGTTTTCAAAATAAGGAAACAACAGATCACCTCTCAGGGGCCAAAGGATCCAAACTGTCCTATCGGTGGCTTTATAGTAAAGCCTGCTGTTAGGCATAATCATCATTAGTATTCTTTTTTCAGGAACTTTTTGTTTGTCAGGCTGTTGTATTCCCCCTACCCCCAGGGCATGTGATATCAAAACAGATGGAGAATTAGGAAACTGTTGAGGGCCCTGGCCCCTCTGTGGGGCTGTTTTTTCTTCTCTAAAAAGACTTCCAAAGGAAAATATGTTCAGTTTTGTTAACAGAATATGATTATTTTGGTATGGTGATTTTTTTTTTTTTTTCCCTTGAAATACATACCTCGGGAAAAAAGTGTGTCTCTTGTTCTAGACTTGGAGAAATCTTGAGTTATGCACGAAAACTGAGTTAAAAAGCCCGTGTCCTTCCCTTCCCTTTCCTTAGCTGCTTCATCAGATACACGGTGGCATTGGTGCTCGGCGTCTATTGAAAGACTCAGCTGATGCTGAAACGCAACCTCATTTCTGAGATGTGGCCTATGGAAAAATGTCCGTGTTAGAATGGATAGAATATGTAGCTGGTTGTCAGTGGGGAGAAAGTAATTGAAGGATTGCAAGGAGATTTTTAAAGGTTTGCAGTCCTAACTTTTATCTTTTTGGGATTTTTGGAAGTACCTTCATTGCCCGTGGAGTTAATCCAGTGTGAATTAATTTAGTAGAATTCACATGCACCCATGTAAGGCCATTTTTCTACTTCAGTTAAGGTTGTCAGTAGAGAAGATCCGGGAGATGGATAATTTGGAAGAGTGCTTCTGTGTAATTCATATTTTTGGAATTACTAAATTACACGAATTAGAGAAGCCATATGTGTGTGTGTGTGTGTGTGTGTGTGTGTGTGTGTGTGTGTGTGTGTGTGTATGGCATTGATTTTTAAGTTCCCATGTTAGTCGTCTTGGTTTTTTAAAATTAAGTTTTCCAAGATACATATGCCCTAGTCTCACGCTTATAGAGTTAGCTAATAAAGTCAGATATCATTATTGAGGGATGTGTTTAGATAGGCAGAATATTATTTGCTTTCTATTACAATTTTGTTTTAATTTCTACCTTCTGAAAGTCTCACTTAGCTACCCTGAGAGTGGACAATAAATACAGGCTTCTGTATTTCATATCCCCAGGTTAAATATAATTTTGTAGTTATTATTTATTTCAGCAAATTATTCAGCGCAGAAATCAAATGTCGCAGCTTCGTTAATTACTACAAGACTTTAGGTTTCATTTTCAAAAAGGCATAATTACTGAGACTTTTATAGTTTGTATAGCTGTGTTCTTAACTAATGGGATGCTTACTGATCATTTTCTTTCTAAACAGGGCAGGACTGTCAGAGAATTGAATTTGGTGTTAATGAAGTAATTGAAGCCAATGACACTTTGCTGAGAACTCCCAACTACAGTATTTCAAGCACATTGAATCCTCAGGCCCCTGAATTTATCCTTAGTTGCACAACTTCCAAAAAGATCCCCAATGACATCGATAAAGAAGTGAACTACAGCTCAGCTGACTGCCAGTACCCAGGCTCTGCCCTCGCCCTGGATGGCAGCTCTAACGTGGAGGCGGAAGTTTTAGAGAACGATGGCGTCTCGGGTGGTCTTGGACAAAGGGAGCGTAAAAAGAAGAAAAAACGCCCCCCTGGATATTACAGTTACTTGAAAGACGGCGGCGAGGGTGGTCCTTCCACAGAAGCCCTGGTCAATGGCCATGCCTGTCCAGCAGTCCCCAACAGTGTAGGCACGGAGGATGTGGACTCGATGGGTGATGTGCCCCCCGTGGGGACACCCAGGACTTGGGGCAGCCCCCAGGACACCACGGACTTCGTCAGCGACGCCGTGCCTGCTGGTTCTTTCCCCGGAGCCCTTGACAGCAGGGCCAGGACTGCAGGGCAGCCTGAGGGCTGCCCCGGGGCCAACTTGGAGCCCTCTCGCCTCCCTGCAGAGGCCAGCAGGGACACCCTGTTGAGGACAGCTGTGGCTCAGCCTGCCGTTGGGACCGATACTACTGAGAACCTTGGAGTCACTAACGGACAAATACTTGAATCCTTGGGTGAGGGCATGGCTGCCAACGGGGTGGAGTTGCACACTGTGGAGAGCTCGGACTCGGAGCCCGCCAGGGCTGAGAGCGGCGCCCCTCCTGCGGACGCCGCGGCCTCTGCGGCGGCCACCGCCCCTGCCAGTCACAGTCAGCCCGCCAAGTCGTGGGCCAGTCTTTTTCATGGTTCTAAGCCCCCTTCCTCCTGCACCGCCTCCTCACCTGTGGTTTCCATGGAAGCTAAGTATTCCCTTCCTGCCACATCTTCCCTGGTCTCTGAAAAGCAGGCCGAAGTCAAGGAAGGGCTGGTTCCAGTTTCAGAAGATCCTGTAGCCATAAAGATTGCAGGTATAGTTCAATAGATTGCAGAAGTGTGAAGCCAAGATGGGAGCAGACAGGCTGGGCTAAAAACTTTGTTGGTATGTTGTTGCCCACAGTGGTAGTAGATTGATTACCCGTGTGTTAAGAGGAATTTCTGAATAATGCCTGTACCTTAAATGTTACTAAAAGTATAATGGTATATGAGCAAAATGGGGTGGGGAGGGGGTGTCGTACCTTTAAGTGGAAAGTCCATGTCCATTACCACTTTTTTACCAGTCCTTTCCTACTGACAAATTACATTTCCATTTCTTGCCTTTTGATCAAGTGACTGTGCTCCATTGTGTGACTGTAGTAGGCAGTCCCATCTGTGTTCCAGCTGTTGTATACCTTTGGTGTCATAATCCCTGATTTGGACTCACTTTGCATTGTTTCTTTATTTCTCAGGATATAAGAAAGTATTTGGGGTTTTTTCTTTTTAATGCCTATTTTGGATTGAGTAAATGGATTTTACTCAGTTTTAGCACACCAAGGCCAACTCTTGACAAGATGAGAGAAACGGTAACAGTTTGGCCTGAAGTTAATGTTTTATTCCACGTGCTGAGGCTCAAAAGTAGGACCAGTTCACAGTGAAACTATAAAGCTGCATGACTTGCGATTTTTCAAGTTAAAGTAGAAAGTCAGAAACAGAGTAGCCGCGTCTGTTTGTATACGGCTGCTCCTCAGGTTTCATTGTAGCGGGGAGTTTACCAATAACCACCTTTTCAGGTTTTTGCCCCTTAGCCGAGTTAAAATTAGCTGTCTTACTTAGGCTTTATGTGATGTTTACTGATTTAACATTTTGGTATGCCTGACAGCGTTCATTACCAGGGTGAGGGTGAAAGCAGTTGCAAGATGCAAAATGCATACCCTTTTATGAATGGTCAGAATTCCATCAGATATAAAACACATCCTTTTGATGGCAGTATGATGACAGCAAGCAGTACTTTAACATTCTTTTAAATGAGCATTTTATTCCTTGTACAGAGTACATTATTTTGAATAATTTAGGTGTCTGGAGTTCTCTTAAAATGAGAAGTTAATTGATAGATGAATTACCATTTTGGGCTTTAAAGTGATAAGTTTTAGGTTATTTGGGTGAATTTTTTATTATAAATATTAAAATGCTAGTAATGTTTTATTATTATTAAAATGTGTGTGCATTGCAAGGGACAGCTGTCAAGGTCAGGAAAGGGAAGTAAAAGCCTTTGAATAGATCATTAAGTTAAAAGTTTATTTTTAGTCTGTAATGAGAGCTACATGGTGCGACGCTTTTAAAAACGTGCATTCTGAGTTTAAAGTCAGAAGACATTGTAATTGTATTTCTGTTCCTAAAAATTGCTTCACAAAGGAAAAACCTCCCATTCCTGGGAAATTTTCTCATTCTTTATTTAAAATAAGAAAGAAAAGATTCATTTTAAATGTTTTAAAGCATTCTAGTCATATGACTTTAAATGTGCTTTGATGCGTAGTTTGCCGTGTATGTTAAAATCTAGTTGACCTGCTAAAATCTAATGTTAACCTGCTTTCTAAAGCGCTGTGAAGGGAATTCCCTGGTGGCCCAGTGGTTAGGCGCTTTCACTGCTGGGGCCTGGGTTCCCTGGTCGGGGAACTAAGACCCTGCAAGCCCCACGGCCCGGCCAGCAACAACAAAAAAAGAAAAGTAAATTAAAATGATGTAAAAGTAGAGGCTCTTAGTTATTTGTATTAGTGGAGAGCGTTGCTACAATTTAATCATTTTTGAGTTGATGCAGTGTGTTCCTCCATTGCCGCGGGGGGACCCCCATTTATCTTCTTAATTCTATGTTTGATTAGGTCGGTTGTAAAGATGTTCTAATTGTCTGAGCAGAAGTGTGGTTCCTTTTAAAATACTTCATTCCTTTGAGCCTGGTTATTGAACCTTAGAATACACAGTGTAGTTGCTGACAGTTTTCAGTATTTCATGTTGTAAAAGAATGCAGTGATATCGTCACTCTTGGAATCATACCGAGCTTAGGTAGAGGATTGCTTGGAATTTTTTCTTCTGTCATATTCTCCTCCTGAGAGGTTTTACTTTATAAAAACGATAAGGTAGGCTCAGTTTATTGTAGGTCAGGTCACTACCACAGATTTCCCCTAAATGGGCACGCTTTTAAGCGTAGGCCCACTTATTTTCAGTGGTATTTAACTGTGTGAAATTCTACCTCCATTAAAATATCTGTTGATGTTAGTTATCATAGAATTTGACTTGCATTAGCGTCTAAGTGGTTCTACTGAGAGAATAAGTTTTGTGTCTATCATTTATTGACTTTTGGGAAAGAAAGAGGAGGGAACAACAGTTCAGATAAGTTTACTCTTTTTTGAGTTCTTAGAATAATATAAATATCCACAGCCAGTTTTTGACCCCAGGGTCATTTATTTTGGATGTCTGCATTTCTGGATTATCTGCCCTGTCGCTAAGTCTGTGCTTAACAAATGCCAAGTAGTTTTTGTATAACCACAAGTGAAACACAAATTAGAAAGACAAATCAACTGTAAACAAAGATTTAGAATCACATAAAGCCTTTTGAAATGAAATATAGCCAGCTTTCAATTACCCACGGTCTGTTTACCCATTGCTGTAATGGCTTCTGCTTTTACCTTTTTGGTGGCAAGGCCATCTTCTTGGTGTCATTTGTCAACATTTGTTTTTCATTTGCTGTTTTTCTTAAATGTAAACTCTTACTGAAGAAGGAGATGGAAGGGAAGAGCCCTTAACCCTGAAGCACCAAATGCCTTCCCTAACCTCGCAGGGAGTATGAACCTGCGCAAGAGGCCCGCGGGGTCCGTGTCTCAGTGAGTGGTTTGTGTCTGCGAGGGGATATATGCCATTTTTCAGTAGGAATAACTGAGCTAGGAGGTGAGCAGAAGAAACTTGAAAATCTTAATTCTTAGAGCTTGTATTGAAAGCAGTTGCAAAACTTGAGGCACAGCCCTGTTAGAGAGTAAGTATGACAAATACCAGAAAAGTAGGAGTGATCTCTGCCTGTGCTCCCTCCATTAGCTCAGGGTCAGAGTTTGAAATGAAACATATCCTTGTGATGAACATTACACTCTTCCTGGGTTTTTACTGAGGATCACTTGTCCTATCCCAAACCTAAATTGTATCAAATGCTTTCAAATCACAAATAGAGCTATTTGGTATTTTATGTTTTGCATCAGTTTATTTTGTTTTAAAGGAGTGTAAACAATGGTGGGCGAGGAGAGAGACTAGGCCAAATGCCCAAATAGAAGGAGTTAAAATTCCAGTGTAAGAGAACTAGGTAAACTGAGGTCGTAGAAAGCTTTAAAAAAATTCTATTCTGTGGGGGAGTTGAGGTATCTAGTAATGTCATTTATTATGAATTTTAGTAAAACACACTTAATAGATGATTTTGCACAGTTTTATACCTAAAAATTGTTGCTGGAGAGAGCAACAAAATCACTACAAGTTGGATCTGCTCAGAAAAATGAATTCCTGGGTCTGTATTTATTGTAAACAAAAATGTACCCCGATTGATCTTTGTTTTAGTGGTTTATAAATCACGTTTATATTCAACACTTTCCCTGTCCTTGGGAAATAATTCTCCACCATTTTGCATTTTCTCTTCAAATTCTCCGAAGCCGCACAGGCAGTGATCATGCAGCAGGCCCTGAGCTGAGGAGGTCCAGCACCTGTTTGCAGAAGCCACACTTGTGGGGTGAGAGTTCAGTCCATATCTAACTTGATAGGTGTATGTCCTTGCTAACACTTCTGTCATGTCTCTTTTAAAGAACTAAATGGACACTCCTCCACTTACAAAACATAAGCTGATCTATAGCCAACCGGTAGTGGTACATTTTGGTCACTTTGCTGTGCTCCACATGATTAGGTAACCAAGATAGCGTGTGTTCTTCCAAAGTGATGTAATGAGGAAAAGAAGAACACTCGGGGAATGTTCTGGACAGTTAGGAAGGTGACAGAAAAGCAGGTCAGCAGCATCAGAATGTCAATTACGAGCCGGTTATTGAGCCTTAAGAATCAGTGAAAGTTCTGCAGCTTTGCGTTTTCATGGATTTTAAATGGTAATATGACCTAAATGCTAATTTTAGGAAAACAAAATTTGATGCATAAAAATATAAGAATAATCATAGTTTATATGGACTTAAAAGTTTACGATTGCCAGTATTGCCACTGAGTTTATGGATCATTTCATTTGAGTGATTTGTGGTTATGTATGTGGGCTACTGTATATGTCAATGTTTGAGCTGTTACGAAGGTGAAGATAATGGTTTCAGTTTCATGTCTTTTATGTGATATGCAGTCATTCTGGCATTTTGTGCCGCGCCTATAACATCATTCCTGGGCAACCCTGCCAACTACTGTGGAAAAGATGGCTTGAGGAGGCCACCTTCCTAAAGTTACTGTCTGAACAGATCTGAGTAGTAAATTATACCAACAACAATGGATTGAAAAGAAGGCCTCTGGGGGGAAAGTTTGTTATTACAGTCAACTTCTGATAATTTGCCCTAAAAGAAAGTAAAATAGAAAACCAACAGTGATGACTTGGGACCATAGGTCAGATTTAAAGGTTCAACCTCAGGAAATACCCCACTCTCTCTCTCCTTTGGCTGTCCTTCAGTGCTCATTGGACTTTAGCAAAATCTAAGTGGAAACGGTGATGTTGTTATTATAAAAGGAACTTAATTAAATAGAGCCAACTGTTATACCAAAAAATTAAAAGCAGTATTCATACTCGCTTGTCTGCATTCATGAATATTGCCTTCTGAAATATAGCAGTAAGATTCATTTATTTTAGGAGCGCTCAGTAACAGAAATGGAGATTGTTTACAGGAATTAGCGTCGTCTCTGCACCGGTGCTGCTTGGCTGGGTGGGAGAAGAGGAGCTGCGCACGGCGGACCCCGTCACACGTTAGCGTCTGGCTCAGTTTGTGGCCATTGAAATTCTTCAGGGGGAGGAACGCGCAATGTACAGTGTGTTATAAAACTGAACATTTAAATTGTGTGGATGTTTGGTTTTTAAGAGAAAATCTTAGGCAATAAGATACTTAATTTTTTACAACCTTTCATTCCTTTTGAAATGTGACTTTATTAATATACTGTATACTCACAAAATATTCAAAACTTAATTTTAAGGAATTGAAGCAAACATTTCTTTCTGGAGAACTGAAAAGTGTTGGTTCTCTCAAACTCTTTTTTTAAATATAAATTTATTTATGTATTTATTTTTGGCTGTGTTGGGTCTTCGTTGCTGTGCGCGGGCTTTCTCTAGTTGCGGCGAGCGGGGGCTACTCTGCGTTGCGGTGCGCGGGCTTCTCATTGCGGTGGCTTCTCTTGTTGTGGAGCGCGGGCTCTAGGCGTGTGGGCTTCAGTAGTTGTGGCTCGTGGGCTGTAAGGGCTCAGGCTCAGTAGTTGTGGCGCACGGGCCTAGTTGCTCCACGGCACATGGGATCTTCCTGGACCAGGGCTCGAACCCACGTCCGCTGCGCTGGCAGGCACATTCTTAACCACTGCACCACCAGGGAAGCCCCTTGCTTCCCCTTTGAGAGTGGAGCTGGCCTGTCATAAATGATTGTTTTTAGTTTAACAAGATATGTATCCAAAGCACTTTTGACTACGTATAAACTTATTTTTGAGTCTGTTAAAACAGATGCATGGAAGGGAAGTTTCAGATCTTGCATGCCTGCCCCTGATCCTTTTCTTTCTGTTTTCCTTCAGTGTCTGTATTGAACAGGAATTGATATACTGTCAAGCCACTTCCCCTCCCATCTTCACCCCTGCCCCCAACCCCGGGAGACTTTGCTTCCAGTGTCATCAAGAAAATTGAGGTTGCTATTTCATTTCTTTCCCCACCGTAAACTGTGGTGAGTCTGCCCTTCCCTAGCTCCTTCCCTTCTGCGATCCTGGGAGCCCCTTAGTGACCCCCTTCTTTTGTCTTACTCCTCAGCCAGGCTCCTGGCCAGGGGAGCCTGCATGAGTGGTCTCCACTCTTGCTTTCCTCCTTGAGGCCCTCGAACGTGCTTCTGCTTCCACTACTGATTCCAGCTGCCCTATCCTTCTAGATCACCGTTACGGATTCTCCTTAGCCTGTCACTTGGACGTGGGTGGTGCTTAGGGTTCTGCTTCTGACCCACTGCTGTCAGAATGTACAGTTCAGGCCCCGAGCTGCAGGGTCGTGTGTGTGTGTGTGTGTGTGTGTGTGTGTGTGTGTGTGTGTGTG